ATTGATGTCAAGATCAATGTTTAATCCATGAGGGAAAAGTGTTCGTAGCTGAAAAATCCACTATGTCTCTAACATGGACACGGCTCTGCGTTTAAAAATTCCTCTCCAATGTTTTTTAATAATATCTATACCTGTAAATTTGAGGCAATGAGGGTTTCTCTTATGTGATTCTCGAAAATGCATAGAGAGTGAATGTTCTTTGTAACCTTTTTTAATATTGTACAAGTGCTCTCTAAGTCTATCCCTAAGCCTTCTTGTGGTCCTACCCACATATTGCTTACCACAAGAGCATTCTAAAAGATAAACGACATGTGTATTATTGCACGTAATGACTGACTGTATGTCATATGATTTTCTTGTGGTGTTAGAGTGGAAGGTTCTTATAGGTTTCTTATAGACTCCATTATTAACGCATAACATGCATCTATTACACGGATAGAAACCTTTATGGCCAAAACCAAAAGATAGTAGTTTTGGGAGGTTTACCACATTAGGGGCTAAAGTATGCCTCAGTGAGGGTGCTTTACAGTAAGTGATCTGAGGAAGTTCCGGTAAGGCACCACCCAGAATCGGATCATTCTTAAGGATGGTCCAGTTTTTCTTTATAATTCTAGCTACCCTCCTTATATAGGACAGAAACCTTTGTTATGAATGGGCAGAATCTATCCAACTTAGACCTATTTTTTGGGGTAAGGAGGTCTTCTCTATTTAGACTACCCACTTCTTTAATTTCTTTTTCCAAGGTGGTGGCACTATAGCCTTTCTCTAAGAATCTATTTTTTAGTATGTTTGATTGGGAGATGTAGTCTTCCATTCTGTCACAGTTTCTACATAAACGCAGGAACGTGGCTGTTTGTTTTTTACTTATACTTTATTTTTCATTTTAGTGGATTTCATTTATTGTCATTTTATATAGAGCTGCATTTTATATATATATAGATGTAAACAATAGAGTTCTCCTCCGTGTCAGCTCATGAAGTGAAGCACACACACAGAGCACACAGCACACTGTTAACCCTTTGATAGCCCCTCATGTTAACCCCTTCCTGCCCAGTGCCATTAGTACAGTGTCAGTGCTTTTTTTTTAGCACTGATCACTGTATTGGTGTCACTGGGGATGTCAGTGTCACCAAGTCATTTCGCCCCCAGTGTCAGAATGCCTGCATCAGCTATAAGTCGCTGATCGCCACCATTACTAGTAAATATAAACAAAAATAAAAAAAATGACAAATTTGATTTTTTAAATTTTTAATGCACAGGCGATCAAATACCACTGAAAGAACGCTCAATTTGTGGGAAAAAAAGGATGTTAATTTCATTTGGGTGCAGCATTGCATGACCACCATTCCACTGCAGTGTACGCCATATTGTACCACAGTAAACAGTCACCCAAGTTTGGCTTTCTACTTCTTTAGCTAACTGCAATGAGCTTGCATGACAATTGTCTTCAACTCTTCTCATCAGAAGACGCTCCTGTTGAAGTGTTCACTTCCATGGACGGCCTGGACATCTCTGTGGGATGGTTGCAGTTCCATCTCTGTTAAATGTTTGTATCACGTTTGCTACAGTATTCTGACTGAAAAGTAAAGCTTTGTTGATCTTATTGTAGTCTTCACCTTTCTTGTGTAAAGAAATTATATTTCTCAGGCCTTGTGACAATTCTCTTCCATTGCTGACAGCATGAAATAGGAAGGGGTAACACCTTTTTATAAACAACTGTCTATTGGACACCTGTTTAATGAATAGTTAAACTCACCTGTAGTTGAATTCTTGTTCATTAGGATTTTGTTGTCTAACATCTAGCTTTGCTCTTAAGACTTTTAGTGGGGTGTTTTCATTTTTGCAACATGGTCTTGAATGGATTTGTTAGAAAAAATACTTTTTTTTTGTGTGTGCAAATTAACAAACCTTGTTTGCAATGAATGTCCCTCATTTGTGGGAGTATTTTGTAGTATAGTGTGCCATAGAAAATGTTGATTCTGAAAGGAAAGGAAAGGTTTTCTGACAAATCTGTTAGAGTGTAATCATTTATGCTGAGCACTGCCTGTGTTATGTAGTGTTCAATTATTCTGCAAATTAATGTTTTGCATAATAGTTTAGTTACAACAGTTCAAAAGCATAGTATCCTATTTTACAATCCCTAGACAAAACAAGAGCTGTCAGCTGAGCATTCCATTGACTCCTCTTTTGCTCTGCACAGCAGACTAATGGTGAGTTGTGTACAAGCAGTAAATGGATTTAGGACACACTATCTCATGATACAATTCATTTTTTTTTATTAATCCTACTTGTTTTGTGCTGTCAATCAGCAGTACAGTGTGTAGACATACTCTATATAATGACTTTGTATATGTATCAGGTATAAAATGTACTTATTAGCAACAGACCCATTGTAAAGAAAATAGGCAAGAATTGAAAAGTACAGTATATCTAAAGCCTGTGAGGAAAATTCTCTTTTGGACAGTTGTCGTTGAAATAAGTGTCCCCATTGGAAGATTTCCCCTCCATTCTTGTTTTGGTGATGACTCAAACTTTTGGATTTTTCCTCACTTTCTGTCCAAGCAACAATGGTCCACAGAACAAAAAAAAAACAAACAAACAGGATAGGTCTGACTATTGGTTACACAGAAAGCAATGAAAACCTGTTCTAACTCCTCACCTTAGTGTCCATTTTTTTGGCTTTGGTTTTAGCTCCACTTTAATAAATTAAGTGTAGCTATAAAGGACAATATCTTATTTTAATTATTATTATACAGTATTTATATAGTGCCAGAAAGTTTGCTCAGCGCTGTACAATATTGTGGGAGACAGTACATGAGACAATACAGTAACAAAACAATATACGAGAGGTTCGAGGGCCCTGCTCTTTCGAGCTTACAATCTAGGTGGGAGGGGATAGTGGTACAGGAGGAAGTGGCTGTGGGGGATGGAGTGGTGGGAGGAGTGGAGGAGATCGGCTGTTAGGTGAGGTGGGGTAGGCTTCCCTGAAGAGATGGGTTTTCAGGGTGCGCCTAAAGGTGAGGAGGGTAGGTGACAGTCTGATGGATTGGGGTAATGAGTTCCAGAGGATGGGGGAAGTCCTGGAGAAGCCCTGCAGTCGGGCGTGGGAGGAGGAGACCAGGGAGCTAGAAATTAGGAGGTCTTGTGAGGAGCGAAGAGTACAGGTTTGGTGGTATTTGGGTATCAGGTCGGTAAGGTAGTTTGGGGCAGTGTTATGAATGGCTTTGTTAGTAGTTTGAATTTAATGCGTTGGGCAATCGGGAGCCAGTGGAGGGAATGACAGAGGGGGGTGGCAGAAGAGGAGCGGTTGGCAAGGTCGATGAGTCTGACCACTGAGTTCAGGATAGACTGAAGCAGGGAAAGTCTGTGATGAGGTAGGCCGGTGAGGAGGGAGTTGCAGTAGTCGAGTTGTGAGATAATAAGGGAGTGAATGAGTTGTTTAGTAGTGTCTGGGGTTAGGAACGTACGCTTGCAGGGTGGGACTGATGGTGGCGTTGTTGGTCGTAATGGAGAGGGTGGGGGGGGGTGTGCGGGGCTGGGGGGAAAATTAGGAGCTCGGTTTTGGAAAGGTTTAATTTGAGGAAGTGGAGTGACATCCAGTCTAATATGTCATTCAGTAGGCAGGTGATTCGGGTGGAGACTGAAGGGGTGAGGCGAGGGGTAGAGAGGTAGATTTGCATGTCATCGGCAAAGAGGTGGTAGTTGAAGCCGTGGGAGTGTATCAGTTGGCCAAGGGAGGAGGTGTAGATGGAGAAGAGGAGGGACCTGAGGACAGAGCCTTGGGGAACCCCAACAGAGAGGGGGAGAGAGGGGGAGGTGGTAGCATTATAGGTAATGCTGAAGAAGCATTGGGATAGATAGGAGGAGAGCCAGGATAGAGCAGAGTCTCTGATGCCAAGGGAGTATAGTTTATTAAGGAGGAGGGGTGGTCAACTGTGTCGAAGGCCACAGAGAGATCGAGGAGTAGGAGGACTGAGTAGTGGCCATTAGCTTTGGAGGTTAGCAGGTCATTAGTGATTTTGAGTAGGGCGGTTTCAGTGGAGTGTAGGGGATGGAAGCCAGACTGTAGGGGATCGCGGAGGTTGTTGTCATTGAGGTGGGAGCTTAGGCGATTGTAGACTAAGTGCTCAAGGAGTTTGGATGAAAATGGCAGCAGGGAGATGGGTCTAAGGTTGTTCAGGTCGGTGGAGTCCAGGGAGGGTTTTTTGAGTATGGGAGTGATGTGCGCGTGCTTTAGGGGGGAAGGGAATGCGCCAGTAGATAGGGAGAGATTGAAGATGTGGTTGAGGGAGCGTAGGATGGAGGAGGAGGGAGACCGGAGGAGTTATGTATTAAACAGGAATTCTTCTTTAACCATAAATAAAGCCAAAATGGAATCAAAAGGGAGACAGTTGTCTGCTGTATTGGTGATAACTGTTTGTCTCTTATTTGAAGTTAATTCATCTTGTATCAGTGACCTGAGAAACATCTGAAAATAACAGAAAAAAGAAAAATTTGGCTGGCCTTTATATTTCACCTTTAGTGACTTAGAAATACACTATGTTGTAAAAGTATTGGGACTTCTGCCGTTACATGCACATAAACTTTAATGGCATCTCAGTCTTAGTCCGTAGGGTTCAATATTGAGTTGGCCCACCTTTTGTAGTTATAACAGCTTCAACTCTTCTGGGAAGGCTGTCCACAAGGTTTAGGAATGTGTCTATGGGAATGTTTTACCATTCTTCCAGAAGCGCATTTGTGGTTCTATTGGATTGAGGTCAGGACTCTGTGCAGGCCAGTCACGTTCCTCCACCCCAAACTCCCTCATTCATGTCTTTATGGACCTTGCTTTGTGCACTGGTGCACAGTTATGTTGGAACAGGAAGGGGTCATCCCCAAACTGTTCCCTCAAAGTTGGGAGCATGAAATTGTCCAAAATGTCTTGGTATACTGACACCTTAAATGTTCCCTTCACTGGAACTATGGGGCCAAGCCTGACCCCTGAAAAACAACCCCACACTATAATACCCCCTCCACCAAACTTTACACTTGGCACAATGCAGTCAAGCAAGTACTGTTCTCCTGGCAACTGCCAAACTCAGACAGGTCCATTGGATTGTCAGACAGAGAAGCATGATTCGTCACTCCAGAGAACACTTTTCCATTGCTCTAGAGTCCAGTGGCAGTGTGCTTTACACCACTGCATCCGAAGCTTTGCGTTTCACTTGGTGATGTCATGCTTGGATGCAGCTCCACGGCCATGGAAACTCATTCCAAGAAGTTCTTGATGCACTGTTGTTGTTCTAATCTGAAAGCCACACAAAGTTTGGAAGTCTTTAGCTATTGACTCTGCAGACAGTTGACGACTTCTGCGCATTGTGCGCTTCAGCATGCGTTGACCCCGCTCTGTCCTTTTTATGTGGTCTACCACTTTGTGGCTGAGTTGGTGTTGTTCCCAGTTGCTTCCACTATGTTATAATACCACTAACAGCTGACCGTGGAATATTTAGTAGCAAGGAAATTTCACGGATGGGCTTATTGCATGGATGGCAACCTATCACGGTAACACGCTGGAATTCACTGAGCTCCTGAGAGCAACCCATTCATTCACAAATGTTTGTAGAAGCAGTCTGCATGTCTAGGTACTTGATTTTATACACCTGTAGCCATGGAGGTGATTGGAACCCCTGAATCCAATGATTTGGAGGGGTATCCCAATACCTTTGGCAATATAGTGTAGCTTTGATGTAGATTACAGATACCCTTTTCAATGGAAGAATATAAAAAAAGCAGTATTTCCCAAGTCTTTCCTAATAAAACTGAAAAAGAAGAACTGTTACAAGAATAGTGGCTGGCTAAATAAGTAGATGTATGTGGCCTATAATACTGGCTTAGTTTTGCATTAGAATGTGAGAGGCAACTGTCACTACTGCGATCTTTATAATACATTTTGAACTCATTACTGCTTCATCTCTACAAGCCAACAAAAGACATGCAAAATAATAAATGTATTATCCCATTAGACATTTGGCAACCTAGGCACATGCCTACAGTAAATGGCCTTTCCAAAGATTTTGGCATTTTAACTAATCATGATCCATAAGCCACTTTACTTGTGCAGTCCACAGTTCTCATGCCTCTAAATACAATTTAATCAAATGATTTACTTGGCAATGAAGAAAATGTATATTGTTGAATATATTTAGGAATTTGGACTAAACAACAAACTAGGAAGGTGATTCATTATACGAAGGAAACAAGTGAGTTTTCACTGAAATCAATTGTTCATCTTTACTTTAATTGATTTAACTTTATCTTACAGTACAATTGTCGGCTTTGAGGCTTTCAAACAACGGATGAATTATATTATGGTCAATGAAAAAATGGCAGCCATGCTATTGGATACAGATGAAAAGTTTCTTGGGGTTTGGCAGCCTTGGATTGCACAAGATCAGCCATTTATGTTCGACAATGCCCTTTTGCCGATTTAGAGGCCCTGTGCCATGGACCCCCCTGGGACCCCTCTTCCTTCTTTCCCCTTTTCTATTTTAACTTTTTCTGCTCTGCTATTTATATATTCTCATTTTCTTGATTCCTGTCATAGTAAACAGCCGCCTGACATCCGCCAGGCTCAGAAGATTGCAAACTCAGTACTTTAGTTTACATGGTAACATATTATAATTTTTGTATGCTGTTCTCCTGTTTAATTGAACATTTGCCTAGTTGAGTTACAGGCTTTTCCATGCTACACACAATTATACACTGCTTTAAACTTCTAACTTTTATATGATGTGGCTACTAGCTTTGTTTACCTGTAGATTTTTCCTTTTTTTGTTATGTATTGCACACCTATTTGATCTGTGCTATAATTATCTAACTTCTATCTTTGTTTGTGCAGCTGACTGATAATAACAATAAAGACCTTTGTAAAAGAAATGAATACCCTCCCCCCCTTCCTTAAATTACCCCCTGCCAGTCACAACCATCCTCTAATCTTTTTGATCCTACCTTGCACAACAGGTGGAGGGCAGAGAGCATGGCATGTCTGGACAGAGAGCGTGACATGTGGGACATGCTTTTCATGTTGGCAGGCAGGTGAGTAGTGGTTGCTAGGAATGCTTAGCGGCCAATCATTGGCCTATTGACTTGGGGGGCTGGGTAGCTCCCGCCCTCTGGCTGGGCAGACCGTGCCTTCTGCCTTCTACTTGCTGTAGGGATGAAAGCTGTGGTGGTGACCACGGTGGGGGGTAAGGAGGATATCAGCTGGCAGAGGACATCCAGGCTGCTGGGTGGGAGAGCCGCGGTCCATATAGGACTGTCATTCGGTCCATTTGTGGACCACGGTCCGCCATTTAGTGATGTTTGCAGTGTATGAACTTTATGTTTCTTTTATTGTATTTGCACTGCAGATAAGCAAACTTTAGTGTTATGTTTTCTGGAATTAAGTCAACTCTTTGTTACTGCTGAAAGTACTGTTTTGTTATCTTTGAAAGAAAAATAAACACCTTCATGGTCAACTTTATCTTACAGTAAGACAATGGTGCTTAATCACCACGTGTGAGGTTAAAATAAAAAGATTAGTATGAATGGTCTTTTTATTTGTGATTTAAGACTAAGGGGCCTAATTAAATTTTATACGAAAGTAGAGGAAACTGGAGGTCTTGCCAATAATAAACAAGCATGTTAAAAAAGATAACCACCAGGAATCTTAAGTTTGTTTGCAATACTCATGTGCAGTGTTTCTGGAAGCTGGCTGAATTCCACTAACCTTCTGTGACAATGTTTGCACTATTCCAGTGTATTTCTATACTGAACATTTGCAGCTTGGCAATGATAAAACATGCAGTGCCTCTCTGTAATACAATGTGTTATTTCACCAGTGGGACATCCTAATATGGACAACCTAGTTAATATTATTCTGCATAATCACCAGGCTGTGACTCTGCTGTTAATTGCAATTGTCTGATTTAAAATTGAACTTGGGTAATTTGTTTTTTAAATTGCTGAAAGATAGTAGTTTTTTTTAAAGCAGAAGCGACTTTGCACATCTATTGTGCTAAAAAAACTTTCTCTTATCTCCTAGAGTTATTAAAAGAGTGTACATGTAGCAATCGTGCACACAGAGATGGATGCGGTCATCCATCTTGCTAAGGATCCTCCATTTTGTATCTCTCTCCCTCCAATACCCCCTCCCTCTCTGTTGAGTGACACATGATCTCTGTGTGTGTATGCTGAGATCAAAAGGCATCAGGCCCCAGCTGGAGAGCTTCATGGTTATAAATCCCAAATTAGCTGGTGCCCGGGTGTCTGTTAGCTTCTCAATCTGAAAGGATCGTAAAGCCATAAACCAGTCCTTCACTGGGCTTCAAAGACATTCCAGCTAGCCGTAAAACAGACTCACATTTAAAAAACCCACTTTTCCATATAATTTTATATCGTAAGGTAGGAAATAATTACATAAATATAAAACATATGTTCGGATAGCTCAGTTTAATACAAGTCGCCTGATATCTTACACCCCCTACTTGAAGCCTACAGGAGAGCAGAAAGCATATAGATCTAGCTGAAATAGTGAACTATGCCATGTTTGATATCTAGACATTCAGCAGATGATTCTGCATATTAATCTACCTGTGGATAGAATGTTACATGTACCTAGGGAAGGTTATTGCCCTGGTATAACTTTGGAGGGATTTTGGTTCTAGCCTGAGTCCCCCACCTACAACACCCTCTCCAAATAAGGCGATTGGTTCTCTGCTTCAAGGAGACACCCTGCTGAGTTCCTAGAAAAAGGCTGTTATCCTTGGAGTTAGAGTTAAGTTGAGTTGAAGAAATCTCACTTTTAACATCGGAACCAACTCGGGAGACGGTACCCTTTGCTCTGACACTTGATCTGCTTAAACCAAGCCTGACGGCAAGTATCTACCTCTCTAAACTTCTTTGTTATCTCTTTGCTGTGTTATTGCTCTCTGTATTTATATATATATATATATATATATGTATATATATATATATATATATATATATATATATATATATATATATTTGGCTACATCTTTTTCTGTAAATATTTTTATTGCACCCTTTTGACCTTTTTAGTAATAAATCCTATTATCTGAAAAGTGTTGAACTGTTTCTGAAGCTCTTTAATGCAAACTAAGAATCCCTGTCTCTGGATAGCGCTACTGGGTGTTTTTAAACCTCTATATATCTCTGCCTGCGGTCACAGTGGTACACAGACGATTATTCAAACATCATAGTGTTATTGATAATATTGGCGAGTTTCCTCCTACTCTGTACAAAAAGGTGTTGGTGGCAGTGTGAAGGGTTAATTGCGTAATTAACCTGACCCAGTAACAATCGCTCTCAGGCTGCGGTACATAGGTTGTGGTCCATTAGCTGGAAAATCTCTGTGCAGGGTGCAGCTGAGCGTGGCATTGTTACGCACGTGACAGTGCGGTTTTAGATTGGCTAGTCCTTCGGTCACAAGTTGGTGAGAAGGGCTGGGTGTCTGACGCCACGACCGTCACAGTACATTCACCTATCAGTCATATCATTCTCACCACTGACAGGTAACGTGAATAACATTGAATATCTCATGACAATAACATCTAAAAATGGGTGGGATATAGTAGGTTGCAAGTGAACATGTTGTCACTGATGTTGAGTGTTGGGAGCAGAAGAAATGGGCAAGCAAAAGGACTTGAGTGACTTTGACTAGGGCCAAATTGTAATGGCTGGACAACTATGATGGAGCAACTACAAAACTGCAGCTCTTATAGGGTGTTCCTGGACTGCACTGGCCAGAACCTACCAAAAATGGTCCAAGAAAGGAAAACTTTGAACCAGCAACAGGGTCCTGGGCAGCCAAGACTCGTTGATGTCGGAACCTAAGGCTGGCCTGTGTAGTTCGATCAAATAGAAGAACTACTGTAGCTCAACATGGTGAAAAAGTTAATGCTGTTCCAAAAGAAAGGTGTCAACAAACTAAGATATACTCTGTTCTGTGTGTTCTGTGCATGGGGCTGCATAGCCACAGATGGGTCAGGCTGCTCATGTTGACCCATGTCCACAGCAAGAAGCATCTGCAATGGGCATGTGAACATCAGAACTGGACCACGAAGCAATGGAAGAAGGTGGCTTGGTCTGATATATCACATTTTCTTTTACATCATGTGGATGGCTGGGTATATCGCTTAACTGGGGAAGAGATGGCAATAAAATGCACTATGGGAAAAAGACAAGCCAGCAGAGGCAGTGTGATGCTTAGCATAGTGGAGTCCATGCCTTGATGGGTAAGCATTGTTTTGGTGCCAACCTACTCAATACTAGGTGGATGGTCCTAATGTTATGGAGGGTGAGCATAATGTTATGGCTGATCAGGGTATGAAGTGCAGTGTACACCCCTGGTTATCCCCAGTAACTGTAAGAAGCCAGGGATGCAACTGGGTTTCAGTGAAAAAGTAACATAAGCTGTTCAGCTTGTTGAAATAAGCAAAGTGTGGCCCGGAGGAGTGGTGGAGATCTTTGATCTGTCATCACTGCAATAACAGGTGAGTTCATTTTCACTTGCTTGATGACTGTATTTTAAAAAGTCATCTCTAACTAATTGAGCAGTACCATTGTCTGTTTATAT